ACCATTCAAATGCATCGATTCTGCTTTGGGCTTCCTTATTCCATGTCCAACTTTCACATGAATATGAGGCAACTGAAAATACTTTGCTTTGGGCCAGGCACACCTCCATTGGTACAGAGAGCTTGACTATTCTACTTCGGTATTCTAAACTCCACCCAGAACCAAAGATCAGACGCACTGCCACGAATGGTTGCCAACTCAGAGCAACTCCGAAGGGCAGGGGAGAACTGCCCACATGAGTCTGAGTCTTTCTCCCTCTGAGCAGCGGATGGCTTCCAACTGTTGACCTTGTCCAAAGGGTAATTACACACCCAGGAGAACCCCTCAGGAGGCCGCTCCTCCGAGGGCTGGTTGGCGGAGTGGCAGTGATCCACCTTGTAACGCACTGGGCCAATGACCCACAGGGAACTCAATGGAAGTCTAATCCCCATAGGGAGTCTGCAGATGGATCGTGGGCTTTCACTGGCAGCCTTCCCCTTCTGCAAAGCTATGCTCAGAATTTCAGCTCTCCAAGACCACCTTTCTTCAGTGTGTGGGTGAGGGGGCAAGTGGGGGTTCCACATGAGGGTGCGTCACCCATGGTGTGCATGGGACATTCTCTTGCCTTGCAGATGGCATCTGCTTCCTTAACTCCCCCAGCAGTTCTCTGGAACCACCGGCACGTTCTGGTTCTTGTAAGTTCTGCAAATTCAGAACACAGTTCAAAGTCCACTTGTTTCTGTGGTTCAGTGCTGTGGTTTTCTTCTTTTTGAAACGTTTTGCTGTGACTTGGGGATCGTTTCCAGAGCAATGCGCTTTTCCATGCAACAATTGGGACACATTTGGCTTCATGAAGTTGATGGCAATCCCCACAACCTCACAGCACGCTTCCCTCTTCCTCCCGCTGAGTCTCACGCTCACTTGTCCCCCTTTCCTATCTCTCCTTGCCTTCTCAGCGAGATCCCTGGGAAATGCTGCCCTTTGGTCTCCTGTGTAGATTATTCTAAAGACGGCTTCTTTCCTGGGTGTTATTGCTCAGTTTACGACCTGTCTTTGGCTGAAAGTTGAGCCAAGGTGGGTATGGATGTGTGTGTGGGACAGGGAAGTGTGTGTGTGTGTGTGTGTGTGTGTTCGTTCCAGGCTTGAAGGGTGACTAAGAGCCATAGTCTGGACCGGAGTGTGGGGAGGATCAGTCAGTGTTGTGTTTTTAAACAAAACTTTGCTTTGGCTTATGTTTCATCTGTAGAAACAGTATTTAATTATGGGTTTGGTAAAATAATAAAAGTTGATTCCAGGGATTCTACTTGCTGTGCAAAGGTCACGCTAACCTGATGCGTTAGCCTGGAACGTGCTGACCTCAGCAATATTTGGGAGGACGTGGAGGAGGGGTGGCTTAAATGGCGAATGCACTCGCTGATGACTTCACTGTGAGCACTAAATCCCAAACTGGTCCATCAGCAATTCGGGGAACAAAGGCCAAGAACTTGATGTCCAATATGGCAGTCACCCGAGGGAAGTATGGCGTGATGGAAGGGAACCTGCTCCCCAGGTAGAACTTCAAGTTAAGGAAGTAGGCAGCATCCGGGAGACTGTTCACCCCCTCGTATTCAGCCAATGAGGGCCCAGGGGAGGGATTCATGAACTACGGAATAGATGGCAGCTGAGAGCACAGTGATGCACCTCCAGTTCCTGGGACACCCGGGCCCGCCAGAAGCTGCAGCAAACCCAGACCAAACTCACTGCCATCGAGTGGATGCCGATCCTACAGGACTCTCAGTGTCTGAGACTGTAACTCTCTATGGAAGTAGAAAGTCTGTCTTTCTCTCATGGATTGGAGGTTGGTTTTGAACTGCTGACCTTGTGGATCTCAGCCCAATGGGCAACCACTATAACACCCAGGCTCCCAGCAGCTGCCAGAGAAGAAAGGATTCCCCCTCGTACTCAGCCAATGAGGGACTCATGAACTGAGGAATATAATGTGTGTTAAATTGTCTGGTGCCCATGTCTGCCCGTTTTGTCTTCTGAGGCGTGGGCGCCCAATTCTGCAAAATTGACTCATCAAGCCTTGGTCTCCATAAAATGAGAACAGACTGGGTTGCTTGAGCATTCGTCCTGAAATTGGTCTTAGAAAGGGGTAGCTCACAGATGGAGCTCCGTGCTCCAATTTGAGCCAGAATTCAGCAGAGGCAGAAAAAGGCTGGGGTGGCATGAGAGCAAAGCCTTCCTGAGATGTTTGCATTCACCTGGGCAAGTGTTCCCAATGTCTACAAGTCGAAGAACACAAGCTTCCAGTTGACTGTTCCCAACAGATAAGGCTGTTCTTAACAGGCAGAGACGGGGCATTGGCATGTTCACTGCGAAGAAACTACAGTGCATCCACAAGCCCATGCCCTATATGGTCCCATCACAGAGGCCTGGGGGTCACAGGCCTCCCCTGTCAGTTGTTTCGGGTTAAATGATCCACTTGTCAATTTGTCTGGGACCCAGATGACCATGGAAGATAAAGCTTGGGGGATGTGTGCCTCTAAACCAAGAGATGATATAATCCCTGGATTGTGCTGGACTGCTGAAGGGCAGACCCCATGCATGAGCTGACGCTGGTTTCTGGGAGGTGCACGGAGCAGCTCCTGTCAGCTCTGGATAGCAGACACAGGAGGACAAATGGTTGAGGGATCTTCTGCTAACAGTCTGGGAGGTGCCCACACCTCCTCAACCCAGCTATAACCTCACAGCACCCAGAGGTGAGCGTTTACGCACACAGTATCAAGTACAAATCCAAGGGCAAAGACAGAATTTTTTTTTTTTTATTGGACTTGGCTTTGACAGGTAACCGACAAACACTGCAGACACACACAAATACAAATGGATCATAAACAAACTATCCATGTGAAATTCAGAGAAAACACGTACAAAAGTGAGAAGACGGGACTCGGCTTCCGATTTTCTGTGGGCCTCTCATTGTGCTTTCAGCTCATGGTTCAAAGGGAGGAGAGGCTGTAAAGTCACTGCCACATCGTACAAAACTGACTGCCCTGATGGCGGGCCAGGGAGGGTATCATTTTACAAACACTTATGATTTCAGTGTTACTTCCCTGTTTGGACGTCCAAGCACCCTTGGCAATTTTATCTAGGAAAATAACACGCGCCCATAGGAAAAGTGGCAAAGTAAATGTTTTCTTTATGACACCTCATTTTTTATTGTGTCTCTGTAATGAGAAAAGGGATTTCTTCCCCCACTCCGGAGCCAAAATTCAGGCATCGAGAAAAGAAGCCACAGAACTCCTTGACTTACTCACAAACGGAGTAAGTGCAGATCTAGAGGACAGACAGGCGGAGACAGAGTCCTCCTGGATACAACCTCACAGGCACCATTTGGATGGGAGGTGTGTGCTCACAGGGCACCCCAATGGGGCCTGAAGGTAGACAGAGAAGACAGACCACGCAGGAAAGTGTCCACAACAGTCCGGAGAACAAACTTGCCATTTTGATCTCAGGGGTGTCTTGCTACTACGGCATCTTTAACAGCCCCCAGGTCACCTGGAACACTTGACTACATGATTCATTAAAACAAACAAACAAACAAACAAACACACTTTACCATAATGCCTTTTTAAAGCGGCACTAAAAACCACCAGAAAGTAATTTGAGGAGGACGAGAGACAATTCTTTCCCACACAAAGTTAAAAAAGGTTTCGTGGACTCTCCCACATCTCGTTTGGGTTATGAATGTGATGCATGGTCAAGACGCAGCACACGGACACCACGCAGCCACCGCACACAGACTCTCCAGACGATGGACATTCAATAATAGCACGGTGGGAACCACTTCTCTCTCGGGCGGCGCACAATCTGAACACTTCATCTTCCCCTGGCCTCTGTCAGGAAGTCAACCCACCAGACACACCAACTAGTTGCTCAACAGTCATGAACGAAGCCTTCATCTTTGATTAGGTGAATGAATGACACCAAATTTATCCAGGTGGCCCAGCCATTCCCTGCGGTCTGCGACAGAGCGACTACTAAGGGAGCCCCATGGGCCAGCTGTGAGGGACCAACAAGAAGCTTCAATTTCCAGATACCTAAGCAGAGAGCTAAGGCCTGATGGGCTACTAACTGGAAGAACAGTGTTTCCAAACCACCAGCCATTCCATGGGAGGAGGATGAGATGAGCCCGTCTGCTCCCGTCAAGTTGGACAGTCTTAGAAACCGTATCTAGTCACTGGGAGTCAGTGGCTTTTTTAGTTTAGCAGAGGGCTGGCTGAGAAAGCACTGTGTCTTGGGTCTGGATTCACACCACAAATTCATGACCATGCAAACCGCTGAGAAAGAACCTTGAGCTTAGGGAACTTCCCTTAGTGGGCTTTGAGCTGTGTTCAGGCGGATTTGCCTCTTACTGACATCGCTCAGGCCTACGGTGGACTGTGACCTTAAACAAGGTGCGTTCTCTTAAGACTCGAGGGGGGTGAACAAGCAAGCACAGACCTTCCCCACGGGCTCTCATCTCCTATACATCAAAGGGAGTGCAGGGTTTCAACCGTCGCCGAGCCAGAGGGCTGCTTTAGCCTAAGCTTACCTACAGAGGAGGAAGTAGAGAGACCCTGTCTTGCACGAGAGTGAGCTCAATGGGAGACGGTGGTGCCCAGGACCTGGGGTCCTCATGGACTTCAAGGGGGTGCTGGCTCTCCTGGTGAAGACACTTTGGGCTTCCGTAGAGGTAGGAAAGTAGGTTGGGAAACATGACAGAGGCGGGCAGGAGCAACAGGCTGCAGGCCCCCTGCCCCACCTCCTGACTACAAGTAGAAAAATGAGATGGAATTGCTGATTCATTAAGAATCACCCCATCAGTAAGCGGCCGAATGCCCGCCCACAGAGCACACACCCAGCCCAGCATGCTTTTTAAAAGCAGCAGTGAGACAGACTAGATACCCCCAGAAAACCAACAGGCTTGGGAAACACAGACACAGAGACCACAGTTCTACAAAACCCTGAGCTGGCCAGGAAATGACATCCCACACTTCAGATGTGCGGACAGCATCCGTTTATTGAAATGTCTGGATCAGCGTGCTCCTCGGCCTCATTCTCATGGAACACTGCCCGTGTGGAGGTGGATGCTAGGGGCAGTGGGAGCTAACCCCCGCGATAAAGCGCTGGCTGAGTCAGAGCGCACATTGGGCGGGTGGGCGGCTCTTCCCCAGCCCCGTGGTGCCAGCTCACAGCTGAGGAGAAGTTATAAAGTATTAAAAAAAGGACCCACATTTTAAAAATTATAATTTACAGCATATTCTGTACAAAAGCAGTCTTGAAAAAGGAGTCCAGTGGTTCGATCAGAAGAAATCCATGGCCGTTGGTCTTCTCTTTGGAGGGCTGGCCAGCAGTGTCTTGGGGGTGAGAGGAGTACTGGAGGGAGAGCTGGTGGGGGTCTTCAGCACCCCATGGAGGGGCTTCTGTTCGGGGTTGAAGGCCACTCGGGAGGGACCCGTAGGACTGACCAAGATACTCTTGTCTGTCTTCTTGAATTCTGCCCGACGGAAAAAGGCCTGCATTAGTTAGCCAGAGGCCTCTGCCCATCCAGCCTGCCTCACGTGTCCCCTGGAGCCGGGCCTCCCCAGTCCGTGCCCGTCCTGTTACCACTCTCCCTCATTCCTCAGCACTTCGGGAAGTGGAGACAGGGAGGCTATGCCACAGGGACCAGTTATGCCCCAAGGAATCTTCCTCAAGGGCCTCGGAGGTCTCAGGTCTCAGCACCCCTAACAGACTGCAGTGGAAGTACGGGGGTGCCCTGCCCTGAAGGACCTTAAAGAATAGGGCTAGCTCATTAGTAAGCCCCAGCATCAAGAAGCTGCAGGAGAAATCTTACCGCCCGCATTTGCTCTAGCTACAGACCAGGGCTGAGTGGGCACCTTAGGCCGGCCGAGTCCGCACATCTGCTTGCAGGCCCACAACTGCTGTGCACACACATTGATCCGGGGCCTCGCTGAGCACCCAGTTCATCCTATGTGGGAGGACTTGAACAAGGCTGTGGAACACTCCCACCACCTTCTACGCATGTGCCACGTCAGTTGAGCCAAGTGCAGGGGTGGCAATAAGGCTTCAGGGAGACACGGGTCACCAACTGCATACTTACGGATTGGAAAGGACCACCACTAGCTTTTAACCCCCGCTTTCCACCAACTTTTTTAAGGCCCCACCAACTTTATTCCCTCCTCTCCCCTCAGGCAGCAGGTGGTTTTCCTGAGCAAAGAGGCAGCCACAGGGGACAGACCTGTCAACTTGGCAGGCCTCCCTGAGAGATGACCTGAAGCATTTTGGGAAGATGGCTCTTTTCATCACCGTTTACAAATTTTCCTCAGGAGGCCTCCAGAGACTCTTCCCCACCCACACACACCCCTGGGGCCTCACTTCTGACTCAGGAAACTGCAGGGGCTGCTGAGCCCACCCGTCCCATTCTGAGAAGACCTTGTACCCTGATGAAGCGCCTCTTGACGCCAACACTGCACTCACCTGCAGTCATGTTTCTGTTCAGTCCGAAGGTGACCTTCTTGGCGCTGGATGGGGTTTTGTTTAACTGTAGAGGCAAATGACAGGAGAGGTATAAGGGATGAAGCCGAGGGGCTGGGACTGCTGGGTGGTGGCCCTGAGAACTCAGGGGAGACCTGCTAACCCACGACAGAGGCCCACATTCAGAAATGCTCACCAACCACGCACACAGCACAGGTGCTGAAGGGCCTGCCCACTGCTGCCTTCTGCTCTTTGGGGGCAGCGATCCCAGGAGTTCCCCCAGCCCTGGGCTACCACAAGTGCTTTCCGGACCAGAGGACCCTTTCTCCCTGGTCACAACGACTCTCCAAGCCGGGCAGGGCGGGTACTCATGGCGATGCATGGGACCTCAGTTCCCTGCCTGTGCACCCAACACCCAGGGCAGGGGGCCCAGCACCCTCATGGAGTCTGAAGCTCTCCGAGAACAGGAAGAAGCAGGCAGGACACATTTTTAAAGAAACCCCTTGCCCAGAGACATAGTGTGGGAATTGCGTCTGATCGGATCCCGCCACACCGAGACAAAGCACTGGGGGAGTGCAGCGGAACAGCACGGGAATGGAGCAGCAAGGTCTCCAGGGAATGCTGAAGGTGGACTTTGGGGCCAGGGCGTGGTGCCCCGACAGACTGGACTGGAAAACACTCCTAACGACCAACAAACGATCCTTGAACTAACTACAAGCTTTTCTTTTTTGTTGTGTTTTGATTTGTTGTTGTTTTGTTGTATATTGTTGCTTGGTTTGGCTGTCTTGTTTTGGTGCATGTTATTATCTCCGCAGGTCTGTCTAAATAAGA